AGGAGGTGTGAGAATGACTTTGTTAGACAGCTAGAACGCAGTCAGTACTTGAGAAAGCCAAAGATTGTCGCAGTTGGCATGGAAATCGGTTCATACAATATCAGGGGTATGCGCTTCGCCCTTCACTTCCCAACCCGGAATGAAACCTGAACTCGGTGTGCGTGATAGCCTACAGCGAGGTCAGCGTAAAGTTGAGGAGCAGGGAGCGGTCACAAAGTAAGGAAGGTGAGTTGTACGCAGGGCCATAACCGAAGCTGGAGCTTTCAATCACAGATTGAGCAGTCGCGACGGCGAGGAAAGAGAAGAAAGAAGCGGGAGCCTTCATGACGTCGGTTAAATCGGAGATTCGTCGAGGCTTAGTGACGCTATCACCAGACACCGGAACAATCAAAGCAGGGGATCAGAAGAAAATAGTCGAGAACAAGGCACAGGTAGTAATTAAGAAAGAAAGGTCCCAAGCAAGACACCTCAGATTGGAAAGAAGCAAATAGAGCTGGAGCTAGCTCGGACGTATCAGTGGGAAGATCGTCACTGGTCCGAAGAAGCTCTGCGGTTTAACAACGCGGAGACAATGCGCGAAGTGGTCCACCCAACCACAATGGCGATCACGCAAACACGAAGTTCCTTGGCGATTGAAGCAGCAGCAGGAGAGATGTCAAGAAAGTGACGGATTTCGACTGAGGAGAGGACGTGAGAATGACGGACTCCAAAGTCCGAAGCGGTGGCCAAGTCCATAATTTGAATATCAGGGACTAAATAAGCAATTGAGGGGGAAAACAACAATTAAGGGACAAACTGGCCTTTCTTCGAGTCTCCGTCCCTGACCGCCCGTCATCACGTGTCAATTCCCCCGGATTGGCATGCAACTAACTGGATGGACCTTTGCATTTCCACAGATCGTCACTTTCTTCAGTCCTAATTTCGCTCCTTTACTTTCATTTTCTTGCTTTTCTTTTCCTTCATCACTGCTTCTCAGAGCGCGTCATGCGCAGTATTTCCAATGACTGAGCTCTACCCTTCATTGGCCCAGTGCGCCATCGTCGCGACAGCCTTCAAGATTCTTCTTTTCCCCGCATAGTACGTGGTCGGCAAGAATTCCCCGATGGTCCTCTTCGACTGACGCTGACCACTGGCTCCCATTACAGCAAATCCACGGACTTTGAAGTGCATCGGAACTGGCTTGCGATCACACATTCGTTGCCCGTTCAGGAATGGTACTACGAGGTACGATGACAACACCACCATGGGAGACCGAGAAGACCGGGCGATCAAGCTAATTGCAGTCAATGGCGGCTAGAAAACGTCGGAATGGACTCTCGACTACCCTCCCTTCTTCGCGGCCTTTGAATGGCTTCTTTCACAAGCAGCTCCCTATGTGGACCCTGCAATGCTGGTGGTCAAGAATCTCAACCATGATTCGTGGCAGACGGTATACTACCAGAGAGCTACGGTGATTGTCACAGAACTTGTCCTTTTGTTTGCGCTCAGCAGGTATAGATCCTCTCGCATATCACGTCTTGTGTCGTGGGTTTCCAGCTGACCATTTCTACTCGTCCTTCAGATTTGTCAAGTCCGTGCCGGAGCAGAACAGACATCTCGCGCATATCGCCAGCCTGTCCATCCTCTTGTCCCCCGGGTTGCTCATCATTGATCACATTCATTTCCAATATAACGGCTTTCTCTACGGTCTATTAATCCTGTCGATCGTTCTGGCCCGAAAGCAGTCGACGTTGCTCTACAGCGGCATCACTTTTGCTGCCCTGCTGTGCTTCAAGCACATTTACCTGTATCTTTCGCTCGCCTACTTCGTCTACTTGCTGAGAGCCTATTGTTTGGACCCCAAATCGGTCTTCCGGCCTCAGATTTTCAACACGATCAAGCTGGGAATATGTGTCGTGGGTATCTTCGCTTTGGCTTTTGGCTCATTCGCCTCCTGGGGCCAACTTCTCCAACTGAAAGACAGACTCTTTCCGTTTTCGAGAGGGCTTTGCCATGCCTACTGGGCACCGAACGTCTGGGCAATGTACTCGTTTGCCGATCGCGCTCTGATTCCACGTTCGTACTCAGTTCGGGAGTATAGTCGCATGGTTTGACTGACTTTGTTTGGTAGTTGCTCCTCGTTTGGGACTCCCAGTCAATCAGGATGCTTTGACCAGTGTTACGCGCGGCCTCGTTGGTGACACTTCATTTGCGATACTTCCAGAGGTGACCAAGGAGCATACATTCGCGCTCACATTCCTCTTCCAATTGGTAAGCACATCGTCGTTCCCCCTTCATGAAGCCAGCAGCGCTGATTACCATACAGCTGCCATTGATCAAGCTATGGCGTCGGCCAGACTGGGAGACCTTCGTCGGCGCCATTACTCTCTGCGGCTACGCCTCCTTCCTCTTCGGCTGGCACGTTCACGAAAAAGCCGTGCTCCTAATCATTATCCCATTCAGTCTCATCGCGCTCAAAGACCGACGGTATTTCAGTGCATTCCGGCCGCTGGCGGTAGCAGGTCATGTTTCGCTGTTCCCACTGCTCTTCACCGCCGCCGAATTCCCGATCAAGACGGTCTACACCGTGTTCTGGCTAATCTTATTCCTCTTCGCCTTTGACCAGGTGGCGCCGGTTCCGGAGCGGCGTCGCGTCTTCTATGCCGACCGCTTCTCGTTGCTGTATCTGACGGTGGCCATCCCGCTCATCATCTACTGTTCCGTGGGGCACCAGCTCATCTTCGGGCTGGGACGCTACGAGTTCCTCCCGTTGATGTTCATCAGCAGTTACTCTGCTCTAGGGGTGGTTGGTAGCTGGGTCGGATTTCTGGTGGTCTATTTCACGGCATAGATAGAAAGGAAGGTCGGTCGGATCTATGTCCCTGCGGGGTAGAAATATTGACCACAATCCCACGCAATCGAGATTTCAAAATTCCTCCTAGCTGTAGGAGAACCCAGAAGTAAAAGAAAATCCCACAGATGACCCAAATCCCATTGCATATATGAATGCATCGTGTAACCCGACAAATTACACACCTCAGACATAGTCTCGAGTAGAAAGGCCAAAAAGAGAAAGGCAGTTTGCATTGTTTGTTTATCATCCACGTGCTTTTTCTGTGGTCGGAGACCCACACCCTCCGATCAGTCAATTTTGCAAAGTTTATCAGCGGCTATCAGGCCCAATCGGGCTTAGCGAGGAGGTTTAAACATGGATCGCTTTTTCACGGTATGTCACACTGCAGATGGGAGCTCGGTGGAACAAACTAGGAGCTTGGAACTGGATGTGAAAAATCATTTGTGGGGTTTCGCGGTTGTCTCAAGAATTTTGATGAACTGTCTTAGACATGCATTAGGCTTTTATATCGATCAGGTAAATTTATCTGATTTCGAGGTTGTGCGGTTTTTGTTGGGGTCGACGCCATGTGGCTTGTCTTAAGTGTTCGATTTATACTTCGGGATATCGGTTGCCGTTCGGCGAGGGATCAGATGGACTTTTTGTCGTGATGTGATGCAGCAGAACTGTGTATCAGGCAATGATTGGTGGAACCAGGGGAGCCTTACTTATTTGTATCTATTCGATAATGATACTGCTGTTTTCTTTCTTTTTTCTTGCAAAGACTTTATGGCGTGGAGTTCTAGAATCGGGGCTTCGCCTGTAAACTTGCCACCGCGTTCGAATTGTCCACACCGCGCCATTGGACTGAGGCAATGTGCATGGTGGGCTCCTTGAAAAGTGCAAATAAAAGCTAGAAGCCACTTATGACATCATTCATAAGCTTGCTGTTTGATTTTTGTCGGTTTTTCAAGCCTCCCTGAACGCGAGTCCAATGTCTGCATCTGCATCTGGCAGTTTCCTATTGTCTCTCCATTTCATATGTGCTAGTAAGCATTCTTAAATTTGGATGTCCTAGCTCAATAACAGCAGTTCTTACCCTAGGGCATTGTAGATGAGCCACTATATGTTCGAGGTGGACTTATCTGAGCAAGATAGACCGATGAAGAGGCATCATTTCACCGCCGCCCAAGCATTGATACTGTCGTTCTTCAGCGTGAATATGCATGGACATAATCAAGAGGGAGAGAGAGTCTATATCGACGTATAAGCTATTGGGGTCTTGTAAACAAAACAGTCGGGCATCAGATGGTTTCGGCAAATCGTCGAATGCGAGCCTTTCCGATTACCTATGATGTCTCGCCACAAAAGACGCGTGTTAGCCTTTTACAAGGGAAATGGCCGAGCAAGTAAAAAGTGAGTGATCATGCACGCTGCAGTCGACAAGATGTGCTCGATAGTTGGTACAAAAACCCGATAAGATGTTTGACTAGAAGTAGTCTGTCCAGCGATGCCCGAGGGTGTGAGCATGATATAGTCACACTGCAAGATGGAAGAATAGCTCATCTCTATTTGAAATGAACGTTAGATACTAACTCGCAATCTAGTTTATTGGATGGTTGTTGTTAGAGACGTGAAAATGTATGTACCTGTGGGCCGCGAAGCTGGAGTCGTTTCCGAGTCAATCTTTTAAGGTCGCGTGTTCGACGAGATGGAAAGATATAATGGCCATGACAAGATAGACTTTTCATCATCCATGCACATGGCTATGCAGCTGAGATTTAGAAGAAACGCGGGCGATTCGAGCGCAATCTCTCATGAAAGTGCGCTGTCATTTGAGGTGTGGTTGCTGTCGGATATCGAGCCCGAAGTATGGTCCCCGCAGCTGGGTCTAGATGGAACTATGATTTCGGTTCAAGGATTATAAAGACTAACAAAAGGAAATTACCCCGAGCCCACCGATGTGTTCGCGTGAAAACACCGAGTCGAACGAGTGTAAATACATGTAGAGTTGTGGTGGTGGGGGAAGAGGTGGAGGGCGGGCAACAGCAGCGAAGGCTAGAAGAGGAAGAGGGAGGAGGGCACTGAGAGGGAGAAGGGCAGGGCAGGGCGATGTCGGCCCAAAGGGGATTAGCGGGGGGGAGGTTTACCCCTACTTCAAGTAGTCAGTCCGCCCGACCCGAACGTCTTGTCCGTTCTCTTCCTCCTCCTCTAGTCCAATCACCGCCTTCCGTTCCTCGGCGGCCTTCCCACCCACTCCCACAGCAACTCACCCACTGCACTGCTGCTGCTGCACCGTGGTGGACTTGTTGCTCAGTTGCCGCAAATGATCCATGATCCTCCACTCCTCTTCCAGATGGGGCCCGCTCCTGTTCTGCCGTTCGTTCTTCTGCGGCGACCGCTTCTCCTTTCTGCCTTGACCTCTTCTTCTTCTCCTCCTCCTCCACTTCCTTCTTCTTTACTCCCCTCTCTCTCTACACTCTCGACAGCCTCATTACCCGACTCCCTCGCTCGCCCCCCCCCCCCACTCACTCACCCACCCTCACCGTCGCATTTCCCTCTCCGCCCCAGAGGAGCCTCTTTTGGGATACCTATATCTCTCCCGCTTAGAGATCGGCAATTCAATCCCGGCCTTTCGCGCGACTCCACGCTCCTCCCGGGTTCAATTCTCGTGTCGTGCTCCGCCCATCTAGTCCGCGGAGTCGTGGGTTGCGCGATCCAGCACGCGTCGCTTGGGTAAGTTTTCAACATACTTCTGCAATTTGACTCCCATGCCCATCCAGCACTTCCGCCTCCCGGAGAATGTCCCATGAAAGTCCTTGCAAGCTATTTCGAGTCCAGTCCACTATGCGCGCGCATTGTCCCGAAGTATCATTTCTTCCTTTGTCTCGCCGCAAATAGCACTGCTCTTTGTGTTCAATCTCTTTGATATTCCCTTTGTCTCGCAACATTGCGCCATTATACTAACAGGACAATTTAAATGTTAGGCATGTTCCCAACCTGCACAACGTTGAACCATCTATGATCGATTGATTCGTGTCTACAGCAACCTAAGAGACCATGGTACGTCGGCGAGCTCGGAGCGCGAAGCTTGGAGTTGATTGGGATTTGCGGGGTGGTCGCAAATGTTCGAATACAAAACTCACGCCGCGTGCCCATAGGTCTTGTTCAAGCGGAAACCAGTCCAATACCTTCCACGGCCTGTCATTGAAGATGACAGCTCCGAAGTGCGTATATCTCTTGGTCAGAATTTTCGATTCAGTCTGTGCATGGGGCTCATTGAAGTTGTAGGTCTGGGTCATCCCGGAGACCAACGAGGTTTTCGTTCACTATGAACCCTACCTTCAGCGGATGGACTTCTACAAGCAGAAACGATTCATTTGTGAGATCACGGGTCACTCGGGATTGACATTTTTCGAGGCTCTGAAGAGCGAGGTATGTGACAAAGGTGATCGGGTTACGTTACCTCCGCTAACAGCTTACATTAGATGGAGGAATCGCGTGAAGTCAACAGTGCTTTCCCCGATGCCTTGAAAGAACCAATTCTCCGCAGGATTCAGTTTTCCACAGTGTCGCGGGTCGACAATCTCGGTTCGTCTGAATTCTTCCTTTACAATCTGCTATCGCTGAGACTGACAACGAACTGCAGTGGACGAGATCTTTGAGGTACATACTAGAAGGAGTATAGACCTGCTGATGGAAACGGATGCTGACCCAGCCCGCAGGAATTTAAGCAAGACTTCTATCCAGGGGAACCCGTTCTGATTCTTCTCGACGACAATACTCGTTTGCATGGTATAATAAGGGACAAGGCCAACTTTGCCGAACAACTCCACCCGGATGGATCCGTCAAGCTGCCCGCCCATAGTACCTATCTTGTTAAGGTTCTGGACCGTCCAAACGAGGAAGCGCTGCTGGATCAGGACCATATCACCCGAGACCGGAAGACTTTCACCAAGCAAATGCTGCGCGCCTTCATCAAGAACAACGTGACGCGGGAGTCGTGGAATGGCGCTCCTTGGTTGGTGAAACCTTCGATCGCCGAGGAATACAGGATACCGACCGAAGTACCGAAGCACTTGCAGTATGGCGCCAAGGTTGCCGAAAAGAAGGCTATGAAAAAGGCCGACCAGGAGGGCTTCTTCGGCTTCTTCGCTTCGCAGCAACTACCAGAACTGAAACCCGCAGTCAAGGGACAAAAGCTCAAGCCATCGCAACAAGAACTTGTTCGCTCGAAAGAAGCCCAGTTTTTGGAATACCAGCGGTCTTTGAACGGCAATCCATCGTTCCTTCTTGCGCATAAGCCTAACGGAGCCGCTCGTCCCCCCAAGCCTCAGGAAACGGAGAAGAAGTCGCAACCGCAACCGCAACCTCCTCCCGCCGTGGTTGTCAAGGTCGAACCTCCGAAGGAGCCGACACCTCCGCCTATTAAGTATCCTATTGAGGATTTGGATATTGCGCCAAACCCCGAGAAGAAAAAGCAGCGCCCAGCTCTTCGCTATATGACCACCGACGAAGTTGATGACTCCGATGATGAAGAGCTCCTGCACAGTACTCTCGAGATGGAATCTGTGGGACGTCTTTTGGAAACGTGGAATACGCTCAATGTCTACTGTGAGGTGTTTCAACTGGACTCCTTCACTTTCGATGACTTCTTTCAGGCCATGCGGTTCTCTTCTGAGGACGTGGACTGTGAGCTGTTTGTTGAAATTCATTGCGCTGTGCTAAAGAAGCTCGTCAATGCGGAGAAGGATGAAGAGGGTGCTGTGCAGATTCCTCTTCCAGAACTCCCTGACGAGGAATCCGACGATTCGGAGGCGGAAGAGGAAGAAGAGGAGGAGGCAGAGCCTACCCCCGAACCGGAGCCTGTGGTGACAAGAATGACGACTCGGAGTAGCCTAGCCAAGGCAGAAGCGGAAAACCTGAAGGCGCAGGCAGAGCGTGAGGGTTCTAGCGCAGAGGAGATCCCAGTTCATCGAGCCGCCGAGATGTTTGGAGAGTATGGCTGGATTGAGCGTCTGCGGAAACGGGATTTCCGGAATGGTGGATGGGAACTGGTCATGGTCGGGCTCCTCAATCGACTTTCAGGCCGCCCGCGCATGAAGGAAGTGTGCAACAGAATCCTCGAACATCTTGCTCCCTTGGATGCCGAACCAACCCAGGAAACCGCTCAGTACCAATACGCCACCATGGACATCAACCTTCGCATCCATGCATTGCAAATCATCTGCATGCTCAGTCTTGAAACGAAAGCGATTCGAAATTACCTCGAGGAGTGCAGCAACCAGATGACGGAGTTCCGCAAGGAGAAGATCGAATACCAGAAAGCACGCAAAGTAGTGTAAGTACTATGAATCCGCACCCACCCGTTTACTTTGGCTATACATCATTCATGCTGCTGTTTCTGTGCTTGTACGGGAACTTTCCTTATTGACTTTTCGTTGTTCAAACAGTCTCGAAGATCTTCGTCGCTTGCACCAGGAGCGCAAGGCTCTCCAGCCGGAGCCCGAGAAGTCTCCATCGCCTGTGCCGGAATTGGACGCCCTGGAGGACTCAAAGATGACCGGCATTGACGGTGATTCCGACAACTCAGACCAAGAGGCAGCTCCCCAGCGGAGCCTTCGCGGTGGCTTGGACAGACAGCTCGAGCGCAAGCGCAAGCAAGAAGAGGAGCGCGAGCGGAAAGAACAATTGGCCAAGCAACCTAAGGGAACCAAGCAGTATCAAAGAGTGCTCAAAAAGATCGAAGATCAGAAAGCCGCAGTTAAGAAGCTCGAAGATAAGATTGATGTTATCGACAACGATCTGAGGGAAGCCGACTGCCCACGAACCAGATGCCTTGGCAAGGACCGTTTCTGCAATCGCTACTGGTGGTTTGAACGAAACGCGATGCCATATGGAGGCATGCCCAACAGCTCCACAGCCGAGGCACAATACGCGAACGGCCGCTTATGGGTCCAAGGTCCGGATGAGTTGGAACGCGTGGGCTTCATTGACGTATCCGACGAATACAAGAAGCAATACTTCAAGGAGTTCCAGACCACGCCAGCGGAGCGCAAGAAACAAGAGGAAGGCGCAACACGACTGACGAATGCAACCGAATGGGGCTACTATGACGAGCCAGATGCTATCGAGCAGCTGCTTGACTGGCTAGACTCCCGTGGTAACCGAGAGTCCAGGCTACGCAAGGAGTTACAATTGCAGCGTGACAAGATCGCTACGTACATGCGAAACCGCAAGGAGTACTTGGAGCAGACCCCAGAACGGGCAGAGTCAGAGGAAATCCCTAGCAAGCGAGTCATGACGCGCAACAAGACCTATGTGGACGACAATAAGCATCGCTGTATGCGTTGGAGAAACAATACGGGCATCAACGACAATGGACACCTTCACGTGGATGCCTCACGCCCGACCAAACGAGCCAAACGAGCCGTCGACGAGTCTAAAGAAATCAAGGCAACCAACCGCCAAGGCAAGCCCCTGACTAGACAAGGCACACGCTACAACTTCTAGAGCAGCCGCCGTCTCGTTTTCATTGATTTTCTGTTCTGGGATTAGAGGTGTTATAGGATTATCGGATCTGTGCCTGGTCGAGGCTATACATTTGGGTGACTATAGCTACTAAGAAAAAGGAGTTTTTGATAGAACTTGCATGAGCGATGTGACCATGATTACCTTTGTCAATTTCAGCTTCTCACCCTATATATACATGCATATCGAAGGAAAGCTGTGGGGGCAGAGCGAGGGATCTGATTTTGGCCCTCTACTGAACATTGACGGGAGGAGTACATAAGTATTGAATTCAGCAGTTGTCGCGCCTTGAAGAGGGTTGCATCCAAGAAATACATGGTCTCCACATGTAGCTTGTATTCTTGGGAAGGATGTATGTTATCGCCAATATATAGTGAACGCAAGAGCTGGAAGCAGTGACAGCAAGCAGAGCAGCGGGATTAGATTATGATGATGACGATGCTGCCTCAGGTACCAAGAGTGATGCGCCTGAATAATTACTCGGCTACGGTTGGCCTCCCCAAAGGGAGAAATCCACTTCCGCCACCCAGTCGGATGGCAGAGGTGTTATATGACGGTAACTGCAGCACGAATAGGTGTCGGCGGCAGGTATCGGCATGTCAGGGCTGTAACGTCATCTCCGTCTGAATCTTGAGTTTCCGCCCTTCCCTTCAGGCGCATGCTGTCTTGCCTCTTCCGACCGTTGGTTCGATCCAAATAATAATCAAATGCAGGATCAATGTGGTGACTTTTGCCAGCTGATCATCTCTAGGCTTATCTGCCCCCTCGGTTTGCTGCGGCCTTTCTTGTCCTCTACATTCCCCTCCCCGCACATTCTCTCACATTCTTCCGCGCCAACTTCTCCCTCCCTCCTACATCACCTTTGACGACCATATCCATGGCCGCCATTATCCGTTAGCCCGTGACCTGCTCGACAACCTCAGATTCGACCTCGCGCCAGGACTGCGTCGAACCCGGTGACGGTATCAGATTATGCGCCGCCGCTGACCGGTCTATCATCAGAATTCGAATTACTCTCCTTCCAGTCAAATAGTCCTTTCAGCCCTGCACACAGCCGTTTTCAATGGAGCAAGTCGCTCAGTCAAGGCCGGCCCGAGGTCCAGCAACCAGTGACGCAAAAGAGAGGTTAGCCGTGGGCACGACACAGGCGACCGCGGTGGACGATGCGTCTTCCCCCCACCAAGCACAGAACGGCCGCGGGGCCACGAAAGAGGTGAACAAGCGCAGCGTAGACTATATCGTACGCAGCGGTGTTGCGGGAGGTCTGGCGGGGTGTGCGGTAGGTTCTTCCCCTTCCCCCCCCTCATGATTTCAAAAGTTGCAGCTGGCGGTAGATGCATGGACTGACAGCGGAAAACATCGTAGGCCAAAACCGTTGTCGCGCCCCTCGATCGGGTCAAGATTCTTTTTCAGGCCTCGAATCCGCAATTTGCAAAATACACGGGCAGTTGGTTTGGCCTCGTCGCGGCCATTCGAGACATCAAACGCCGCGAAGGCCTCCAAGGCCTCTTCAAGGGACACTCTGCGACCCTCCTCCGTATCTTCCCTTACGCTGCGATTAAATTCCTTGCCTACGAGCAGTACCGGGCGGTGATGATCCCGTCTCCCGACAAGGAAACGCCGCTGCGCAGACTCGTCTCCGGGAGTATGGCGGGCATCACGTCGGTCTTCTTCACATACCCGCTAGAGTTGATCCGAGTGCGATTAGCGTTCGAGACGAAACGAACCGCTCGCTCTTCGTTCACCGACATCTTCCGCCAGATCTACCACGAACGGGTGACGCCCCCCTCGACGTCCAGCGGGGTATCTGCGACGCAAGCCCCCATCACGGCGACGGCCGAGACCGTCTCTGCCGCCGTAACCAAAGCCGTTCCGCACTCGGGACTGGCGAACTTCTACCGTGGCTTCGCCCCGACGCTTCTGGGCATGCTTCCTTACGCTGGCATGTCCTTCCTGACTCACGACACCGTCGGCGACTGGCTGCGCTCCCCCTCCCTCGCCCCCTACACCACCATCCCCCAATCCGAATCGACCGCCCAATCACAGAAGGGCTCTCGACGACTACAGCTGACCGCCGCCGCGGAACTTACCTCCGGTGCTCTGGCGGGGCTGGTATCCCAGACGTCCTCGTACCCGCTGGAGGTCATTCGGCGCCGGATGCAGGTCGGAGGCGTCGTCGGAGACGGCCATCGGTTGGGGATCGTGGAGACGGCCCGCACCATTATGCTGGAGCGAGGCTTCCGAGGCTTCTGGGTTGGTCTGACGATTGGATATATGAAGATTGTCCCCATGACGGCCACCGGGTTCTTCGTCTATGAACGGTTGAAGTGGTCCCTCGGTATATAGCGAACATATGTATCTGTTTATTCTGTTGTTTCTTTTCTAGATCTTCCACAAGATTTGGGCGTTAGGGGGGGGGGGACCGAGAGTTGAGTTGTGTGTCTATACCATTTGTTCATACCCATCCTTCGCCGAGACATCCGAGGTGACGGAGTACAGAGTCTTGTACATAGAGCATATACATTACATGTTTGATGCTAGAGATTGTTTGGTTTCTGGATTGATTGTATGCATCTGAAATACATCCTGCGAACCGCTCTTAGAGATCTGAAATGTTAATGTAAAAGTGCAAAGTAGAACTGTACATAGAATGATCTACCATCTTCCGCTGCAAGAAGAAGAAGAGGAGAGTCCGTCGTCCGCGACTTCTCCTCCCCGATTGGCCCACCCGACCGGGCGGTGCACAGACCAAGCAACGGCCGGCCGCCCGGCAAAAAAAAGTTCCATGCAACTCTAAATGCCCTCCATCGAAAGCACTTTCGCTTTTCGGTAGATTGCGCAGCCAACACGCCCACAAACAAAGCCAAAATGACCTCGCGCAAACGCAACGACCCCTTCGATCTCGCCGTCAGCGATGACGACGAACAAGACCAGGGCTACGACTCGGCCGCCGACGAAGAAGCACAGAGCAAAGGCGCGCTGCGCTCCGCCAAACGGCGCCGCGTGAACGACACCCACAACCTGCACGGGCTGGACTCGGACAACTCCGATCTCGATGCGGCTTCGGACAGTGAGGATGAAAAACCCAAGGGCAAGGGCAAGGCCAAGGCCAAGGCCAAGAAACCCACGACTCGCGCTGCTACGGACGCCTCCGGGGACGAAGATGAAGACGAAGAAGACCTCGCAGGAGAGGATGCCGCCGCCGCACCCGAAGACGCCGCTACTACTGCATCGTCATCCCAGAAGAAATCCCCGGTCCTCAAGAAGGACAAGAAGAACAAGACCGGCGTCGTCTATCTCAGCTCGCTTCCGCCGCATCTCAAACCGTATGGCCTAATTCCCCCCGTTCTACAAACCCCCAATATCGTGTACACACCCCCCGCCCCGCTAACTGTTTTGGTTGAAGATTCGCCCTCAAAAACCTCATCGAAGCCCGCGGCTTCGGCCCGATCACGCGCGTCTTCCTGACGCCCGAGACGAAGAAGCGGCGCACCACGAACAAGCGCAAGACCTACGCGGACGGGTGGCTGGAGTTCGCCAGCAAGAAGACGGCCAAGCTCTGCGCCGAGGCGCTGAATGGCAACATTATCGGGGGCCGGAAGGGCGGGTTCTACCACGACGACATCCTCAACCTCAAGTACCTGCGGGGCTTCAAGTGGAGTGATCTCCAGGAGCAGATCTCGCGCGAGCGGTCGGAGCGCGAGGCGCGGCAGCGGGCGGAGGATTCGAAGGCCCGGAAGGAGGATAAGGTGTTCTTGGAGGGGGTGGAGCGCGGAAAGGTGTTGGATGGGATGCGGAGGAAGAATGAGGAGAAGGAGAGGCGGAGGTTGGAGAAGGACCAGGGAACTGTTGAGGGGGCTGCTGCTGCTGCTGCGGCAGGCAAGGAGAAGAAGGATGCCAATGTCAAGGTTCGGCGGGTGTTCAGGCAGAATGAGGTCAAGTTGGGACGGGATAAGAGTGCGGATGATTTCAAGGATCTGGGGGCGGATACGAAGCGGGTTCTGGGGAAGATTTTCTGAGGCTGGTGTTGCGTGTTTGGTTGGTCTATATGAGTGTGTTGCGGGTGTATTTGTTGTACAGGGAGCATTTCTTGGCTTGATTGGTTGGCTTATCGATATCCCAATGTTCATGAACGATTCTTCAAGGTTTTGGCGACCAGGACTGAGAGATGATGTAGCTTGTAGTGACTGAGGAGAGTGCTGTCGTCGTCTACGAGTATTGATGAGGGGGTATGCTAGTGGTATGATAGAGTTGGTCTGGCTGTGCCTATCTTCAAAGCGCAGTGTACTGTAGCTGTAGTCCCGCCGGCGAAGATGGAGCTATTCCAGTTTGGGAGGATATTTTCTGCCACCGCCAAAACCTACCACTTCGCCCCACCTTTTTTCTGGGCCTGTTCATCCCAGAAATCACGGATTCCGTAGCGAGGTCGCGAGCGTTCTGCCGCTGCAGGCGGTGTACTAGGCGGTAGGGGCGGCTGTCACTTGCATGGTTCCTGGGCTTCTGTGGGGCGCTCAGCCCATTCAGGCTTAGTCGCATTGCGCTTCCCCGCATCCGATGAGGAGATGACGGCGGTTAGCCCAGCCTTTTGAGTAGTAGTTGTGTGATGGGACCGTGTCTTCTATCCTCAGCAGTCGTCTACCAAGAGAAATGAGCGGGCTCCTTCTTGGAAGGCCCTGGCTGAGATCAGGAGTTCGATGTAAATCACCCTCATCTAAGAACGCAACAGTACCGCGCTATCAAACTCCGTGTTTACTCCAAATCCACTGTTATACTTTCCCAGCGCCGAGTTCTAGACCTGCTCGACACCCGCGCAGATCTCCCCCACCAACAACAAACCAGCTCGACGCTATCATCGCCGACCACCGCCACAAGCTTCCCTCAGGGCCAAGCAAGCAGACTCTCTACGAAGCATTTGGAGAACACACCGCAGCGGGAGGCGCCGTCTCCGATCATTTGGGTTATTCCGTCGTCTCCACACTCTTGACCCCCCGTGCCCCCGACGATGCCGAGTTCCCCGACCAGGTACCGGACGCGGACAAAGAGCTGGCTCTGCGTGTGCTAGAGTACCTGTCGCTCCAGGGGACGCCGGTCCTCGTTATGGGAACGTTCGCCATGCTCTACCAGGCCGCTATCTTTTCACCCCCGCAGCCTAAAACCACGGTCGATACTGCTACGCTTGATGATGATTTTTTCGCACCCAGCACACCCGCCAGCGATCAAGAGGACGACGATGCAGCCACCCGAATCTCACGAATGATTACCGCGCTCCACCTCCCCTACCACCCCGACGACGCGCGAAGCCTCATGACCATGCTGTTCCAGAACGGCGACTACGAGACCTTCTGGAAGCTGTGGCGCAGGATCCCGCTGCAGGGATCGCCGCGGAGCGCGGAGGACTACGGGATGCTGTTCCGCTTGCACGCGCAGCTGGGGGATCCGCGTCGCGCGGTACAGTGCGTGCTGATGTGGGTTCCCATGATGGCGCGCGAGGGACTTCCGGTTTCTGCTGCGCAGGGGGAGGTCGCGCGGCTGGTCGTAAGGTGTACCGAAGTCGCGGTAGAAGCCCTGGAGCCGGTCGCGGAGGGGAGACAGTTGGAACAGTTGATGCAGATCCGGGATGAGGCTATCCAGGCGGCTGCCATGGAGTCGAAAGGAGAGAATGAGCATGCGAAAAACGACATCGAAGGGTGAGAGGAATGGGCTGTGTGCCGCTTGCTGTGTGGTTTGCATGGGGCAGTGGAGCGGAAGTATAGTAAGACTTCTTGCTCGGATTTTCGGGCGTGTCGAATCTGTGTCTGTCAGTGTGGTGATGGAGAATGCCTGGCTTGCTCAGCTTGTTTAACCAAGATAGCATCATGTGCTCTTTGAACGTTCTTCCAGAACTTCGGCTGGGAAAGTTGTCTTAGCCGCCGTCGCTACTGCAGCCACATCACGGTGACCTGTGGCTGTGATCCAGGCCTTATTTCCAACATCTCAGCCAGACGTCGGACCATGTATAATAGGAGAAGCAACTCAATTCATGTACCAGAAAGCTTTTGTCTTGTTCTCGGTCATGTAGTCCTCCTGGCGTGAAGATGTCTGGTCTATCTAGGGCAAGAATCCTCATGAACTTCTTTTGCACGTTCGCATGTTTGGCAATGCAGAACCTCCATGTCAGCCAATAGCCGTGATGTTGAGTTGAAAAGAATCAAGTATCTTTGCTGGGCCCAATTGACTTATTCGTGATCAAGATGGACGTGATATGCCGGATTTCATCAATGATGGTGGTTTCGCAAAGATCCGTGACACTCATGAAGGAGTTTCAACGGAGCTTACGTTGGGAATAGAACTTTCAGGCAGTTCTCAGGGAGGACCCTCGAATCGGCTATATTTAACTAGACGTGCCCGGAGAAGGTTGACAGGATCAGGTTTCAGGATCATCATGGCTTTCATGGAACGAAGAATTTGGCGGATAAGAGTGTTAACATTCAAAGGCCGTTGATCTGCCGGATCATCAGCAGCAAGGGCGAAGCGGAGTGGAAGGCGGCCGGCCGATAAGCCTCGGCTCAGCCCCGGCGCTTCTCCTCCGCATCTTGTCTCGACCACCATTGAGTCAATCTCCCTCCTCAATCCTTCTACCCTCTTTCCCCAACAACTCTACCTCTAATTCACCCCGGTCGCCCTTCAGGGGATGATGACTGACACTGCCACAACAGTATGGAGTACTTACCGAGTCTGCAGCAGGAATTCGACGAGTTGAAGCCGTCTCTCTTCGGTAAGTCCAGCCCAAGCCACCTCTTATCTCACAACCCACCCCCAACTAATCCGTTGCATTGTAGAGCTCCTCGCCGAACAACAGCTCTCCGATCTCCTCCCCCCATCCATCCGCTACATCCTCGCAGTCGCGACCCACCGCCACCCGCGATACCTCCTCCGCATCCTCAACTCCTACGATGAGATCTACGCCCTTCTCTCCCTCCTCGTCGAACGATACTACCTCCGCACCTTCGGCGGCTCCTTCACGGAGAACTTCTACTCGCTGAAGCGCGAACGGGTCCTGCTCACGAAGAATGGCGAGATCCCGCGCGCCCAGATCGGCGCTCCGGGCCCCGTGCGCGACGCCCTCAAACTCCGCACGCGGGATGTGTGGAAGAACCTGCTCATCATGGTGGGCATCCCGTACCTCAAGCGCAAACTCGACGAAGGGTACGACATCCACGCGGCGCCGCACGCCTCGCTGATCATGAGCGGCGGGCCGCGCTACAACCCGGGCGACGAGCTCCCGCCGCGGCCGACCCTGCGCCAGCGGCTCTTCCACTTCTACAAATGGTTCCTGCGGAACATCTACCCCTCCCTCAACGCGGGCTACTACCTGACCATCCTCGCCTTCAACCTCGCCTACCTCTTCGACAACACCAAGTACTCCTCCCCGTTCCTGTGGCTGATCGGCACCCGCATCCGCCGCCTCAGCTCCGCCGACCACCGCGCCATCGCCGCGGTCCTCGACCCTCCCCCAACGCCCGCCACTCCCTCTCGCTCCCGCTCCCGCCCCGGCTCCAGCCTCCTAGGCCTTCTGAGCCCGCAGAACCTGCACGCCCAACTCCTCACCTCGCTCCGCTACTTCCTTCCGGCCTCGATCTTCGCCCTCAAGTTCCTGGAATGGTACCACGCCAGCGACTTCTCGCGGCAGCTCGCCCGCAAAGCCACAGAAGTGCTGGATCTTCCCGCCCCGGTGGCTAACGGGATGACCCCGCCCTCGCAACGGAGATCCACCACCACCACCACCACCACGAAAGATCCGAAGAACGCCGACGAGAAATCATCCGCATCTTCCCCGCAGCTGAAATCAGCCCTCAAGTCCCCGACCAGCGACACGCAACCACAGCAGCAAGACCCCCAGGACCGTCGCATCCCCATCTCCGCATCCTCGTACCTCCCCATCTTCACCGTTCCACTGCCCGCCGCGGACTCCGAGACCGCTCAGGCGTGCCCCGTCTGTTTGAACACGCTGACTAACCCGACGGCCTGTCAGACGGGTTATGTCTTCTGCTATGTGTGTGTGTTCCACTGGTTGAACGGGGAGCATCAGCGGCAGATTGATTTTATGGACGGGGAGGCCGCGGCCGGTGCGCCGTGGGAGGAGGAGGATTTGGCGCTGGAGGCGCAACAGGCTAAGCAGGCGGGGGGTGAAGCTGGAGATGGGGAGGGTGAGGAGGGGAAGTATAAAGCGAAGGGTAGTCGGCGGGGGAAGTGGGAGAGTGGGAGGGGGAGATGTCCGGTTACTGGGCGGAGGGTGTTGGGCGGTACGGAGGGGTTGAGGAGAGTCTTGGTGTAGACAGACTTCTTTTCAAGATTATGTATGTATTAACTTACAAGATGATGAGCTTAATGTAGACTTATGAGCACTTTGTTTCCCTTCTAAGAAGGAGGAGCAACGTCATATGAGCTTTTCAGCAAGCAGAATTTAGCCTCGCGACATGTTGGCTGAGTGCTCGTTATGCTATTGGTTTAGATGTATGTACACGCTCATGAAAGCCTCAACCCAAACGCAATACCAGCGGGCGTCCGTCAGATGTCTCCGAGTCCAGGCTCCAAGCTCTCTACTCAATCACATACGGCTGGGCTTCCTCCCCAAAGACCAAAGCGGGTTTCTCCGCGGCGAGCTTGAGGATCGTCTGCGCGAAGACCGAGTTCGCCCACGCGAACCACGGCCGCGTGTAAGTGGAGATGTTGTTCACGTTGATCGACTCGTGGACCAAGCCCAGCAGACTCGAGTTGCGGACCAGGTTCACGCACTCGGTGATCTCGGTTGTGTTGTCTGTTGTCATCGCTTGGACGAGCAGGGACATGGGCCATGCATTCTGCAGACCGACTACACGAAACAAACACAAATTAGTTCCTCGTTCTCTGTGGGTATACAGTCTGAGACAAAGGGAAGCATACTATGTGGACCGCCGATACCATGGAAATCCGTGCCGGTCAGATAATACGGGTTTCCCGCAGGACTTAGAATCATCTTGCGCGTGTTCTGGTAGACCGGATCCTGCTGGTCGACGAAGCCCAGGAGCGGCAGCGACAGCAGCGACGGGACGTTCGCGTCGTCCATCAGGATGCGCGAGCCGTACCCGTCCACCTCGAAGGCGTAGACGTCGCCGTACACCGGGTGATGGACGATCCCGTGCTCCTGGACTGCCTGCGCGAGCTTCTCCCCGCGGGACTGCAGGTCATCGGCGACGGCGACGATGTGGTTTGCGTTGTCGTTCCCGCTGTCGGCCGCGGCGCGGCGACGCAGCACCGCAGCGGTTTTCTGCAGCTGCACGGCCATCATGGCGTTCGGGGGGATGAAGAAGCCCAGGATGGTGGCGTCGTCGCTGGGCCGGAAGGCGCTGCGGATGAGCCCCGTGCCGCCGTTGAGCGGGTTGCCGATCCCCGCGAGATTGAGGGTCTCGGTGCCCAGGGTCGTCTGACGCTGGAAGGTGTACTCGTTCGTCACGTACTGCTGGGCGGCGTTGAAGGTGGACTGGGACTGGGCGTCGATGACCCGCAGCACGGTGTCGAGGGCTTGATACCATCTTGGCGTCAAGAACTCGGTTGAGTTGGTGTGCTCGTGGAACTGGGTGCCCAGCGCGAGGAAGTTGGCCAGCGAGTCGAGCTCGTACTTGCACTCGAAGACCACGGAGGAGTTGTACGGTGGCGTGACGGTGTCCTGCTGGCTGCTGCTGGCCGGTGAAATGCCGCTTGCGGACGGCGGCTGGAAGGCATTGCAGTAGGGGGACTGGATGACGTACTCAACCTGGGTGTTGATGGCGCCCAGGATGAGGTTGTAGAGGGCCCGGTCCTTCTTGGCCAGAGCCTGGTAGCCGGAGAGCTGGTTGGTCGAGTCGCGCAGCCATTCGGCGTTGATGTCGCCAGTGACGATGAAGGACTGCAGCCCTTGCCATTGAGGTGCGTTGTTGGCTCGCTTCCGCTTTGGGGAATCTGTTGATGTCGGTGTCTGGGTCCCGTTGACGTGCCAGCGGATGGTCGTGTCTAGCGTATTGGGAAAGGCATTCCGGAACAGCTGCGCGAGGTCTTTGTCTACCATCCGCGACGTCACATCCTCAATGACAGTCTCTACCCCAGGTGACGAGAAGGTCCGACATTCGACAGAAGGGCGCTGGAACGGCAGATTCAAGGCACCGCCGCTGTACGGGGCACTGCGGGGGATTAGTTGGGACCTTTGCAGTTGGAAGATTAGAAGTCGCAACTTACTGTCCGACAGAGGAATAGGATAGGTAGTCAGAACAGGAACGCCGCAGAATCGCCTGCTCATCGCGAACTGTAGCGCCTGTAGCGCCTATACTGGCTGCTAGAACCACGATCAGTATCGCAGAGCGTGTCATGACGAGCCTAGGTATTCCGAGAAGTCGACAGAGTGCGACACAGTATGAAATAAAGGAAGATCCCACACAGACAAAAGCAAAAAGAAGGGAAGAGAAGGAGACATGATCGGAAAGTGGACTGGTGGGCGTGACGGAGGTGACAAGGGGAAGGAAGTTGGAATGCGGGCCAGAAATGCGGAGAAGATCAACAGGGATCGGCGCCGAGGCCGTCACTTGGTCGCGTCGCATTGCGTTGTTACTTGCGCCTTCTGCATCTATCGTATGACCTGTGACTCGACATTCTACTCCGTAGTTGTCTGATAGAGATCTCTACGTTGTACAGTGCAGTGTGCACCCAGCGCCGCTCTTGTATTGTGCCTCCACCCTCGCCTCAATTACTGGCTCGCTATTTCTTTGCAAAGAATGACATGATGCTGCCCTGACCAGCTTTAGGCCCGGCTTTCCCCTTCGGCGCACTCACGGCCGGCTTCTTCTTGGGCGGCGGTGCTGGCTCATCCTCTGAAAATGACTCCCAGCTCGGCTCTTCGACGGTGACTGGACCAAATAGTCAGTGAATAACTTCCGAAAAAAAAAAGTGCACCGAAGAAGATCTCACCTAAGTAGCCCTCCTCATCCTTGACCGTCTTCTTCTTCATCACCTGACGCCTTCCCCGTCGACGGCCTGCACGGATAATCACCTCTTCCTTGGGTTCGGCCGGTTTAGGAGGTGGTTGGTCGATGACATTGGACTCCTCTTCAGGCGACGGCGCGGCATCAGGCATTTCTTCATCCTCTTCCTCATCTGCACAAGTCAATAGCTGCCAATGAGACGGAGTTGAGGAACATACCGTCATCCTCCATCATCTTCCGAAGCCTCTCCTCCCGCTCTTTCCGAGTCTCCCGCGTGCTGGTAGAAGCAGACTTGCTCGAGTCAGGGAAAAGTTCGTCAGGCTCGTCTTCAGATGCATCGTCCAGAACAACTGCCCAATATCAGTCACCGTCACTTTCTGAAAGCTTCTCGTACACTTACCATCCTCAGAGGCGCTAGGTTCCGCCTAATATGTCTGTCAGCCCGCATTCGCAACCGCAGCTGGAACCGGAAGTGAACTAACCGTATCAACGCCAGAGGAAGCGGGAGTTGCCTCTTCCACCTTCTTGGGCTTCGCCTTGGCCTTGGCAAACGAGCTGAATATGCTACTCTTCTCCTTCTTGACCGGCGCAGTCTTCTCCATCGATCTAGTCGATGAGACGGAATCTTCCCTCTTCAGCGACTGCTGAGACTTGGGTTCCTCTTGCTTGGTTTCCGTCGTGGGCGGCTTTGGCGCTTCATTTGCCGTGGGCTTCTTCGCTGGTGCAGTCGATTTGGCGGGTGCAGGTGCAGGTGCAGGTACCGGTGGTCGAATGCCCGTTCTCCTCTACAACCCCACATATAGCGCATTAGAATCGCAACCGCCGAGAATGACCAATCAAGACAGACACAAACCTTGACATTCCTATTCTGAATCATGCCCCAGGATGACCCGTGCTCCAGCGGGTCTTCCTGCGCATGGTTGGCCAGTGTCTCCCGGGCCACGTCCGTCAAGACATTGAGATCCTGCAGCACAGTAGGTTGTAGGCTGTAGACGTATATCGAGGCGATAGACTGGAAGGTTGCTTTCGCATCTAGCCGCATTGTCAGCTTGTAAGAATCCACGCCAAGTCATGTGCGTCCCGCAGGTCTGCGACAGACTCACCCTTCAGATCTTCCTCGCGCACAAGCAATACCGAGGAAACCGCGACCTCGTCTGCATCGCCATCCTGGTTGGGCATAGAGCTGCTCATGTAGGGGCTGCTCGGGGGAATATCGTCCGTATCGGCGCTGGACTGGAAACCGTTCGCGGAGGTCCCTGGCTCGGGTGCCTTCTGAACTCCCGTAAGGATGTACGTCGCATTGACGCTGTTTGGCTTTTTGTTGTTCTCATTGTGGTGAAAGTCGTACAGCATTCTTGCAATCAATCACCGTTAGCATGCCGGCTTCCATGGTATTGGGACAGCCCGCAGAACTTACTGCTTTGCTAACGTGCTATGCACACGGAGAGCTCGACCCAGCGAGCGATAAGTGACCTAAGCATTCACATGAATCGAATCAGAATCCCAGTCCCCAACCAAAACACACACTCCTTTCAGGTTGAACTCACCGTGCGCTGCTCATTGAGAACATTCTCCGCCAGGTATGTCTTATAGTCCGCGATCGCCATGATGTCAGAATATCGCGTTTGGCAATATCTTGCTTTGTCACTTTTGCCTGAAGTCAACAAAAAGTAGTACGGAGTAGAGCAGACGGAGATCGGCCGACGGACGCGTGCTCCACCAAACCACTTTACGCGTATCAGTCAGCTTTCTTTTCCGCGGCAGTCTTGGCGCCACCCGCCGCCGCCGCCGAAGTCCATCCCTCAGTCCATCAATAAGTTACCTTAGTAGTGAACTTTCCTACAAAGAAGAGCTCCACGAGTCTCCAATTCAATCCGCCCTCGGATTTGTACCTCACATCAACCCTCACCTGCACTGGTCTCGCTCAGCCTTGAGTTGCTTTGACCCACTCTATCATACTTGGACCGAATTTCAGAGCCTCCGAAGCACCCACTAAACCAATTCAAGACCTCAATGCTTTCGCGATAGTCCACCGCCGCTAGGATAATCTACCTACCCAATGGACCACCAGACCTTTGACCTCCCCGACTCGACGGACTGGCTGGCCACGCCGCTGTCCCTTCTCGCGCCGCTCGAGTCCGCCCTCCGATGTCAAGTATGCAAGGATTTCTTCGAGAACCCCGTCATCACCTCGTGCAGCCACACATTCTGCTCATTATGCATACGCCGCTGTCTCAGTACGGAGGGGAAGTGTCCCGCGTGTCGCAGTTCGGATCAGGAGCTGAAGCTGCGGCAGAATTGGGCGGTGCAGGAGCTTGTTGAGACGTTTCAGAATGCGAGACCGAGCGTCTTGCAGCTGGCGACTCAGGCGGCAACCGCGGCGGCGCAAACAGGTGAGGGGGATCTAGAGCGGCCGGCATCGAAGAAGCGGAAGGTAGATGTGTCTGGGGAGCTCGGAGATCGTGCCGCGATTGCTTCTACGGAGGCGGATATTGCTGCGGGGAGGTCAGTGGAGGGGGTGAGGACGCGGTCGCAGGCGAGAGGAGGTCCTGCACAGCAAGCTCCCACAGAAGTGATTGAGGTGATCGACGATAGTCAGGATGAGGAGTTCGTTCCAGGTACGTTATCCCACGTCCTAAGAGCTGTCCAGTGCAATGTGCTAAAGGCTTCCAGCGGATGGACTTGTCGCCTGTCCGGTATGTCAGCGGAGGATGAAGAACGAAGCCGTGTTCTCACATCTTGATAAATGCACTGGAGAGCCTGCGCCGCCGAAAGCTTCCCCCAAGACTTCCTTTGGGTAAGGATGTTCTCAAGCCTACGCCTGTCAGAAACGATTCTGACTCTTTTAGCTCTCTACACATGCCGATGTCTGCGCCAGTTCCATACAGGACTCCCAAGAACAAACCACTTGAGAGACTTCCAACCATTAATTATTCTCTATACAAGGAGAGCATGCTTCGGAAAAAGCTCAAAGATCTAGGCATCCCCAATACAGGCCCACGGCCACTGCTGCAAAGACGCCATACCGAATGGGTGAATCTGTGGAACGCTAACTGCGACTCAAAGTCGCCCAAAGCTCATGGAATCTTGTTGCGTGAACTCGACATCTGGGAACGAACTCAAGGCAACCAATCTTCTTCTTCATCATCCGAGGCTCCTGGATCGATCATGCGCAAGGATTTCGATAAAGCTGCTTGGTCGACAAGCCATGAAGACGACTTTAAGAAACTCATTGCCAACGCTCGGCAAAAGAGTCGCGCGGCGGCGCGTACGACAACACCACAAGAATCCGCTGCGTCGAGTACAATGCAGAACACACCTGCTTCAGAGCTGACAGATTCCTCATTCCCAGCAGAGACCACAGATCCCTCCGATAGTGTGCCTGTAGATGCCAGTATGTCAGGTGCTGTGGCACCTGAGACTCCACTGCCACCAGAATCGTTCAATGGCGGATTGACTGAAATGCATCACTAATGCTCCGTGATACTGGTCGCCAAACATTATGCTCTGTATATATCATCCTCGACGGTTAAAGACTATGCTCCCTGGTCACTGGGCCGTGGCGCTTGGGTTTTCTTCGACCGACATGCGGGACAACCTCTCCTCTAACTCAGAATCGAGGTCCTTCTCTGCTGCTGCACTGCGCGCGGCTTCTTTGGCACGCTGTTCGAGGTTGTCGAGTTCGGCAAGTTTGTTGCGGATCTCTTCTGCTTCCTTCTCCTCTCTCGCCTCCCGCTCCTTGTTCTCCAACTCCTCAAGCTCCTCGTCGATCTCCATCTCGTCGATCTGCGGACCGGCCTCATTTAGGATATTTCCGACCTCATCCACCTTCGTCATCTCATCACGCAACTCCTCCACAACATCCTCCACCCTAGCCGCACCTCCGATTTGTGCATGCAAGCCACGCAGCGCTCCAGCGCTCGACTCCATCACCTTAACGAACTCGACCTGATCCGTAGCCTGTTCTATCTTCGAATAAACCTCCTCGAGCTGCATCAGGGTATCAAATCTCTGCTTGAGATTGTGCTCGGCAAGTTTCTTCGAGCGTACAGCTGAAAGCGCAGAGACGCGGTTCTTGTTTTGCAGCGCCGTCTTCGCAGTCATATTCAGCTCGTCGATCTTCTTCTCAAGACTCTCGACCTGGGTGGCCATTGTAGCCATGAGCGATTTGATCGAGGCCACGGCGGTATCTTGCTCCGTGATCTCCCTCGGCGAGTCGTTGGTAGGTCTAAATCTGATAGTCTACTCCATAATTAGCCATCAACACCTCGATCATAGACAAAAAATGCAAGAAACAAACCTTTCCATCATACGCGATGGCCCCACTATCGCGGGACAGATACAGCAAAAGCACATCCAGGTCCGCATTGGACAACTGGCTCCCCTCATCCAGAATGGAAGCGAACTCCTCCACAAACCTCTCCTTAGAATAAACCAGATCCGTCTTCGACGGCTTCTGCGCCGTAGCTTTCTTAACCACCCTCTCAGCAGCTTCCTGTTTCACAGCCACAGCCACAGCAAACATCAGCCTTTCAACCAATCCAACTCCATCGCGGCTTCCGTGTGATAACATACCTTCAGATTCTCCACCAGCACCAACTCCTGCGCCTGCAGACGGGGCGTCGCCTCCTCGGACCCCAAAACCACCCCCTTCAACTGCTTCATCCCCCAACTCATCACCACCCAGGGACTCAACGCCGACGTATCAATCCCCCACCCCGGTTTTTGCAAGCTCACCCCACTATTCTTGTACATCTGCAACGGCACCATCGTGCGATTCCGGATCGCTTCATCCTAAACCAACCCCAGCCCATATTCGTGTTAGCCAGACTCCCTCCCAAAAGAGTTATACCTTATTTCCGTTTGGCTTGGTGGTGGGAAAAAGAGAGGCTCACAAGAACCGCTCCTAGCGCCACAGGCCGCCCGCACTCCGGGATCTCCAGATCCCGGAGAAGAGTCTCGTCCGCCCGTAGGATCAGATGATTGGCCTTTGGCTTCGTACCGGAGGACGAGGATGCGGGGGTCGAGTGGATGTAGCCGTGTTTTGCGGCGTTGGCCAGGGCGTGTTGCCATGCTGTGATGTTCGTGTTGTACCCCTCGGGGTTGATCTTGCGGTGGATGGGGAAGTCGGAGTACAGGGATGGGAGGCGGTTTCTGTAGCAGACGGGTTTGCAGTTAGTTGAATGGCACTTTGTGAAGTGTGGGATTGAGTGAGGTCGAGGGTACAAGGGGCTAGCTTGTAGAGTGGACGAAATACCCACTTTCTGAATTGATCCTGCGAGAGGACGTAGTTAAGGAGGTCGTTCATGTTGAGTTTTTGTAGTCTGGATATGGTAGGATTAGGTAGTGGGATTAAGATTAGATATTTGTGAGAGAGAAAGTGTGATGTAAATCATCAGCAGTAAACAGTGCTGTGAGGGCTCTGCCTGCTTGACGGCTGCTCTGGCCTTTGTCCTTCGGGATGGGATCTGATGTCAATAAATGGGCCCAGCCCGTTGGTTGTCCGGGTGGTGATCTTATCGATAAGATCAAATCACGTGATAACTCATTCCTGAAAGGGACCGTGGACGTCATCGGACGGCAGGCCCTGGTTACTGCACGCCGGGCATACATGAGTTGATGGCTCAGTGACTGGCAACGTGAAAGAGGAGCGCAACTACAACGCAGGTGTTACGTATATACGAAGCATTAGATTCGACGAGTGTCTATAATGATGTATAACCTTCCATGCGCCTATCCGGCCTTTTCATTCCGTCCCTAAGCTCGTTCAAAGTCATCATCGGCTGCATTGTCATTATCCCTCATACCCTGTGTCGGGCTAAGTCCGGAGTCCAGAGGATTCACAACCAAGGACTTCCGATTCTTGCGTCGATCCAGCTGCTCGCTCGTCTCTTCAGTTCCCAGAGCTGCTGCGGTGGCTGTCTCGTCCCTAGTATCTAGGCCTCGAGCCTCGAGATACTCAACCTTCACAGCATGTCTGAGGTTGCCAATGAAAGTTTGCATCTCCGGCATCGAAAATGCCCCGTCACCCTGCAGAACGTCCGCATACAGACGCTCCGCCTCCTCCAAGGCTGCCGAGGCTAGGGACGGCTTTCCTAGTCGAAGCCACAGATCTGCAGCGAAAACGCTCCACATTCCGGCCTTGCGACGACGAGACCCCCATTTCATGCCGGGCACGGCATTACGAGCAGCATAACAGGCTGAGATCCGTTCACTAAACAGACCCTGACCGATAGAGCCGGCGAGACCCTGGTCCATGACCCGCATGGCCCATTTAGCCGCGATCTCTACCGCCGAGCCGCCGCGTGATTTAAGCAACTCCATCGCTAAAGTCAGACATCGTAGAGTGTTAGGCGCATCCGAACATCGAGTCAGGTACGAATAAGAGGCCGTCTCAAGCATCTGATCAATAGCATCAATCTTGACTTTGGTACCCATGGAAGATGGACTCAAAAGCATGCTCACAGCCGACATCTCATAGGCACCAGCGTGATATTTCCAAGCCTTGTCGTTCGCGTAATCGGACCGCAAAAGTTCGTACGTCGATGCGGAAAGCTTCCAATCACGAAGCATAAATGCAAAATCAGCCATCTTACGTAGGACAGCCTCGGGCGCGTCAGATTTGTAGTAGCCATGAGCAGTATCATAATTGCCACTTGCTCCACCAGAGGTCAGACTGGATCGAGAGCCGGATCCGAAGCCTGCCCAGCGGCGTGACATGGACATGAATCTTCCGCTGATACCACGTCTGCGAGAGGCTACTTGATCATTCCATACCGCCACTCGGTTTTCCATGTACGGTACGACTGATTGCGCGACTAATTCCCGAACGAAAGCCTTGATCGCCATCACATCCGACTCAAAGACGTGCGGAAGCCCACCCGTATCGAGGTCTACTAAGGGTTCTGGCAATTATTAGCACTTAACGCACAATCAGTCCAAGCGGCCGGTCTCACCTGTCCGTCCATACAATCGCTCCGATGGCGAAAGCCATTCACACTCAGGTACTTGAACACTGTCATCATCTGTAACCACACATTGATTGCTGCGCAATCTCAGCAGGTGACAATGAAGCCCGAAATGGCGTTTCATTTGATCGTATAGCTTCGTAGAATCTGTGATGTCGTCGCGATCCTCATCATGCACTAAGACGTAATACCGGAGATACTCAGGATGGATCCAGTCAGGCACCCGTTTGTCTCCATTGTTGGTGTCTGCATAGAGTCGTCTGAGAGTCTCCAGAGGAGCAGTGTTGCGCGAGCTGATGGCGATAACACAGGCCACTGGATGTCGGAAAGTCTCGTGGGGTGTCGCCGATGCTATGGATAAAAGCTGTCGAAGGTATAGTTTGTATAAAGGTGATGTGCTGGGGAGACCGAGAAAGTCCTTAGGGTATAAAGACCCGCCCAGCGGATCGTCCAATGAGCCCAGTTGCTTCTCCAGGACCTCCTCCGCGTGTGCTAGAGGGGAGCTCCGCCCCCCGCTCGACTCAGGGGGACTTTGATTATTGTTTCCAAGATCGACAAAGCGCACCCCATAATCCTCCCAGCTCCGACTCGCTCCAACACTATCCCGAATGACAAGCTTTCCTGGGATGGTCTCGCCAAATGGCCGGATTAACTGCCAGAACCCGCCCGCAAACCCCTTTTGCCGTACTAACTCATCGGTGTCCGCTGATGCATAGACTCCGACGACAGGGGAAAATGAGCGTATAATCAGCGATCGTATCTCCTCGGAGCCTTCAAACCGTCCGTCTACTGGAGACCCGAGAGATGACCGAGCCAATTGGGGTGTGGACGATCGAAAGGACGGTGTCCGCGGTGATGCTGATCGGATTGGCAATTCTGACGTCGTGGCGGAAAGAGGCGGCGTTAGGGATGCGACCCTGGACTCAGCAAGATCTGCATCTAGAGACGGAGAAGAATCGCGGCGCTGGTTTGGATACCTCGTCTTGGAAGCGCCACGCGGAACGCCGGGCGAGAAGGACGGCGGAGGCTTGACCGGAGCAGCATCTCCGGGCGATGTCATGGACTCCGAGTAAGTTGCGACGCGACACTAAAAGAGGTTGAAAGAAATCTAGAGCCCATCGACTGGGAAGACGGGGTTAGAGAGGCTAGAAGTTCAAACAAGAAGCGCGCGAGGAGCAGACTCAGCCGCCAGCCTGGAAGATGTGGAATGGAGAAAGTGGGAGATGGAGAGAAAAGAAGACGGTGCTGGAATGAATGAAGCCACTTCACCGCGGCCGCAACGTGGGAGAGCGATAGAGGTAAACCGGCATGCACGTGAGACCTCCTGTCAGCCACGGGCACTTATCGACTTGGCAGGATTTCAAACTAGGCTCAGAGATTCATTTAATCGATACACATTACGGATAGATTGTCAATCATCTCGAAGTCAACAAGCCAATAACAACAAACCGGCTCTCTCTGACCTCACCGTACCGATGGAGAATGGATCTGAAGAGGCAGGCGGTG